GTAGCCAACATTCGGATGCTCAAACTCTACCTGAAGAGACACCAGTGGGGCGTAGGGGGAGAAGAAAATAGACTCCAGCCGATGATGAGGTCCTTGTCAGTGTGTGGCTTAACACTTCTAAAGATACTATTGTTGGAAATGAACAAAAGTTAGAGACGTTCTGGAAACGCATTGGAGAATACTATGCAGCAAGTCCTCATGCTAGAGCTAGTAGTGACAAGAGAGAGCATCTCAACTGTAAGCAGAGGTGGCACAAAATCAATGAACTCACAAACAAGTTCCGTGGCGCCTTTGCAGCTGCAGAGAGACAAAATAACAGGGGTCAGAGTGAGAATGATGTTCTGAAGATGGCTCATTAAATCTTCTACTCTGATTATAACCTTAAGTTTAACCTTGAGCACGCATGGTGTGTGTTGAGGTATGAATAGAAATGGCGTACACTCAACACTTCTAAAGCCAGTGGCAGTGCAAAGAGGAAAACTGGTGAGGACGTTTCCCAAACTTCAAGCACCAATGTTGGTGATGAAGAGATACGGCCTGAAGGTATCAAGGCTGCAAAAGCTAGAAGGAATAATGGTGGAAAGGGAAAGACTGATGTTGATTATGACCGCATTTGGGAGATGAAGAAGGAGGATTTGGCGATGAAGGAGAAACTGTCAAAGCTGGCAATTCTAGACACTACTTGCTAAGAAAGAAACACTAAGTGAAGCTGAAGAAGTTGTCAAGAATAAGCTACTCCTCCAATATATATGAGTTTAGTGTTTGTACTTAATAATGGTGGTTTCAATGTTTTATTTGTTTTTTTTTGCTTCATTTTAATTTTGAAGGCTTTCCACTTTTATGAATTTAGTTCCTGGTTGGTTCAGTGACTTCTATGTTATAAATGCTTCAGTGGTTGTTTCATATTTTTCATGTTAATGTTTTTTGCCTTTATGAATGTTATTCGTGGTTGTCGCACTGCTTTACTCTGTTAACAATGTAGCATTGCTTTAATTCTATTTTTTTATCTATGTAATTTTTTAAGTTAAGTAAGCTATGGGACTTGATTATAGCTATAGCCAGCCATCAGAATCAGAGGAGTATGGTGGGAACACATTAGAGTGGCTACAATGAAACATAAGAGTTGATTTTTCGTGATCAAGCAGAGACAAGCTACAATTTTCCTGAGCCGCTTTAGTACTCTCCTCAACCTGAGGTTGAGTTTGAATTCCCGCAGACATGCTATTGTGGTGGTCAACCTCTTCTCGCAACTTGTAACAGCCGAAATGATCCAGGTAGAAGATTCTACACCTTTGAAAATATTGATGATGGAGAGTGCAGTGTTTGGAAATGGTGGGATGTTGTGGTTATGAAGGAGATGAGAGCAAGGGATAAACATACATTTGAACTGGCTGAAATGGTAGATTATCTTACCATTATGAGTGACTATAAGACAGAGAAGAAGCTGGCCAAGCTAGAGATGATTGTTTCTGAGCTAGGTAACAAGAATTTAAGGTTAACCAATCGGTTTGAAATGGTTGTCGGTGTAGTGGTCGTTGTTTTAGTGGTAATAGGTATGGTGGTAATGTTTAAGTAAATCATGTCGGATGTGTAATGTGGTTCATGATTTAGTTGGTGTTGTAATGAACAGTAGTGTTTATTTTGTGGTAGTCTGTAATGTGTTATCATCTCGGATGTGTAAGGACAGCAATGTGTAATCTGTGTAATCATGTCGGTAGTGTTTATTTTTTGGTTGTCGGTAATGTGTCATGACTGCAATGTAGAGTGACTGTAATGTATCAGCACATGGCACTCTTGTATTAATATGGTCTTCTCTGAATGTATCACAAGCTTGATATATAAACAATCCGTGACCTTTTTACTATGTGTTTGCAAAGTAGAATATGGTCTTGTCTTCATACAAATAATAACCCATGATCCCTTTGATTTAAGAAAGACCACAACAAAACAAGCTAGTGTCACAAGCTGTTGGACTTTGAACAAAATAAGCATCACAAGAGTTTCATAGGAAAAATAAATATCTACACTTATTAGCCTATAAGTATGAGTCAACTTCTCTCGTTACACATATACAAATCATCCGTCTTCAACTCTCTTTGAAATCATTTTCTCTTTTTCTTTTCATGTAAAAATGGCATCTTTTCCCTATTATCATTACCACAAAGATGATGATGATGCATTTGCATCCCTATCTGAAGAATTATTATAAATCCCATATATTATTTCTAAACCAAAAAAGTAAATAAATGTATTTTTATTGAGAGAAACTGGGAAGAAGGCCACATAAAGCTCTAAAATGATTATTTTTCTGAAACTCCTACATACCCTCCCAATATATTCCGACGACGGTTTCAAATGAGCAAGCTATTGTTCATGCATATTGTGCATCGTCTCTCAATGAAAGTAGAGTATTTCGCTCCAACACAAGATGCAGTTGGAAGCTCAAGTCTATCACCGCTCCAAAAATGCACTGCAGCAATTCGTCAATTGGCATATGGTGGTGGGGCTGATACGGTAGACGAATATGTCCGACTTGGTGAAACAACAGCTCGAAAATTCTTGCACCCTTTTACCGTCGGAATTATCCACTTGATTGGTGATGAATACCTGAGACGTCCAACATCGGAGGATCTTGAAAGACTACTACATATTGGAGAAAAACATGGATTTCTCGGGATGATTGGAAGCATCGACTGTATGCATTGGGAGTGGAAAAATTGTCCCACCTCTTGGAAAGGTATATATTCACGAGGAACCGATAAACAATAATTGTGTTGGAGGCCGTAGCTTCATATGACCTGTAGATATGGCAGACGTTTTTGGATTTCCAGGTACTATGAACGATCTTAATATTCTTGATCGATCACTTGTTTTTGATGACATTATTAACGGAATAGCTCTGAAAGTCAACTTCAATGTCAACGGAAGGAAGTACAATTTTTCCTACTATCTCACGAATGGTATTTATCCGGAATGGGCGACATTTATTCAATATATCCGACTACCACATGGTCCAAAAATTATATTATTTGCTAAAACCCAAGAATCTGTCTGAAAAGATGTTGAGCGTGCCTTTGGAGTCTTGCAAGCTAGATTCACCGTTATAAAAAATCCCGCTAATTTATGGGATAAATCCAAGCTAGCAAATATTATGAGCACATGTATCATACTCCATAATATGATTGTTGAAGATAACGAGATTCACACACTCAGTATGACCTTTCATCGTTCCAACACGGAGAAGATGTGGATCTTTCTTTTTTCGTCAAGATGCCTACTGAGCTTTTCAATACACTTGATCGTCGAGCAAGAGTTCGGGATAGACCAGTTCATAAACAATTAAAACTTGATTTGATCGAAAATTATATGGGATAAATTTGGGATTGAAAATTAACATTTCATGTTTAAGTTTCTATGAACTGAATAAAAAGTTACTTTTTGCAGTTTTAATGTTTTTATTGTAATTTTTTTTCAACTTTGTAATTTTTTTTCTAACTTTGTAATTTTCTTATGTTTTCTATTTTAATTAATGTTATATGTTTTATTTTAAAAACATCTTTATATGTTATATCTTATTAAAATAAATAATTAATTTACTATTTTACTAGGAACCAACAAAAGTATCTACCAATAATCTACACTTTTACTCATGTATTTTAACTTTGTTTCTTAATCTTCATATATTAATAAAATGTGCTAAGATACTAAATTTTGGTCCAGCAATAATGTTGCTCTTAGAGCAGCTGCAACGCAACATCTTAGAAAAAAATCATTAGCCAAAATTTATTTTTATAATATGTGGGACCCAATTTTTTTAAGAATTTGTGCTGTCATAACCTCTTGCATGCCGTAGTTAAGGATCAATTCACTACCGAGCTCGTCACTGTGAACGGGTCCCATTGCCACGTGGGATCCCGTGATTTGCTCCTTTTTTAAAAAAAAACTGAAGAAAATAAAAAGAATATAAAAACTTACCTTGGTTATCGAGTCCGTGGGGTTTGGCGTTGCAGCTGCTCTTATATCTCTTATTTAAGAGACGGTTCTTAGCTTTTCTTAGTTAAAATCTAAGAAAAGTTAAGAATCGTCTCTTAGCCAAAGTTTAAAATCTCAGTTAAGAGACTGAGGTTAATCATGGTCTCACGATGGTGTTCTTAGTGGAAGTTAAAAAAGTTAAGAATTAAGAAATCCCATCCTAAAAATTTTGGATTAATCATGCTCTTATTAATACTTAGTAGCCAAGTAAAAGTCTGATACTTACAGGCTACACAATTAACATACTCAGTCTTTGAACAAGTAAAGGAGATGAAGCAGTAGAAGAAGCAGAGCAGAACGGATAAGTTTTGGGTTTCTGCTGAGGTGGTGAGGTCACGGCCGTCATAGAAGACAGAGGCCTTGTGGGGTTTCTAAGTAGAAATGGGTTGAGAGTTCTTGGAAGCTGAAGTCATTGTTCTCGCCAGGAATGAAAAATTAGTATGAAATGGTTTATTATATTTATTTATACTTAAAAGGCCATTAGAGTAGAACAAAGCCGCATAAATATAGTCTATTTGGCCCAAGAAACCAGTGATTAGTGCTTCTGACCTAGGTTTATATTCTACCTATATCAAGTGTAGTGACCTGCGCCATTCTCTTGTGATACCTCACGCCTCCTTCTTCTCAAACTAAAGGTTTCAGCTCTCAATAGCATAATAATCCTCTTCTTCTTCTTTTTTTCTGGACCTAGTTAAGCAGATCAGCATGGAAAGAGTAGAGTTGCCACAACTTCACCAGCATCCATTGATACCTTTCAATCGCTTTGCTTTTAGTGCGTGCAAGGTGTGCGGCCATTTATTTAGCGAATATAATCTTAGCATTCAGGGAGGGTACCGTTGCAATGAGCTGGGTTGTGAAGATGCTGTGTTCCACAAAGAGTGTTTCAAGCCCTTAAAAGAGATCAACCACTCTTTCCATCCTGACCATCCTCTCAAACTGATCATCCCTACCTTTCCCTTACAAGATTCCCAACTCCATACATGTTTCTGTGGAAACAGTTTCAAAGTTGGTTATTGTTGTTCAGTTTGTGATTTCCAGTTGGATTTGGAGTGTGCGACGAGACCAGAACCACTTGTTCTTCCTGCAAATTCATACGGACATGAGCATCCCCTCAAACTCGTCTGTGATTCTTACGATAAGGAGCCGAGTTTAGAATTTTGCAAAGCATGTGTGAAATATGTAGTACACCAGACAATTCCTTATTATAGATGTCAAGACTGTGATTTCGTCATCCATGTTGATTGTCTTGATTTGTTTCCAGAAGCAAATCATATTTTCCATCCCCAACACCCACTCAAGTCATTTAGAGGTCAAATCCCTGATTATGCAGACAAAATTTGTCTTCTTTGCCAGAGCAAGTTCGATCAAGAACAACATACCCAACTTCACCACTGTGATGTTTGTAACTTCAGCATATGCAGAGAATGTATAAGGAACCCACCACCTATTGATGTTGAATGCCTGAAGACACATGAACATCGACTTCATCTTGTTCCAAGACGTATTGAATTCACTTGCGATGCTTGTGGGACGACTGGTGACCGAAGTCCTTATTTCTGTCTTCAGTGCAATTTCATGATCCATCGAGAATGCATCGATCTACCACGCCTCATATACATCAACCGCCATGATCACCGTATCTCTTACATCCCTCGCCTTGGACATGGAGAGTGGAAATGCAGAGTTTGTCGTAAGAAAGTGGATGGATTCTATGGAGCTTACACTTGTGCCAAATGTCCTAGTTTTGTTGTTCATGCAAGATGTGCAACAGACAAAAAAGTATGGGACATGGTTGAACGAGAAGGGACAACAGAAGAAGAGGAAATTGCACCTTACGAGGTGATCAGTGATAACACGATAAAGCATTTCAGCCATGATCATAACTTACATCTCAACAAGGATGAGATCATTCTATCTGAAAGCACACTGTGTATGGCATGCATCTTCCAGATTGGTGAAGAACCGTTCTACATTTGCAAGCAGCAGCAATGCGATTTCATTCTCCACGAAAAATGTGCAAACCTTCCACGGAAACAGCGTCATGCGTGCAGCAACCTGCCATTCACACTGCGCACAGATTCTCACTTCAAATTTAAGTGTATGCTTTGTGATCAGTACTCCACCGGTTTCTGGCATGAATCTGGACCTTATGTGACTATAGATGTACGATGTGCCTTGATTTCAGATTCACTTGACCATGTAAGCCATCCACATCCTTTATACTACTACCGTACAGTCAAATGTTGTTGTAGTAGATGTGAGGAAGGGGGATACTTTTGCTTTCGTTGTGATGAGTGTGATGACTATATGTTGAACGGCAAGTGTGCTCTTTTACCTGAGAAGGTAATGAAAAATAGATACGATGATCATCCTCTCTTCTTGTCATATGTTGACATGAATGTGGATGAAAAATATTGGTGTGAGTCATGTGAAACAAAAGTGAATCCAAAAGGAAGGTATCTATACATGCAACGACTGCGGAGTCGTTTTCATATTTCATGCGTTTTTGGAGACTTCTCATACATCATGCCTGGAACATTTATTTCTGTTGCCTTGGGCTTTATAGATGTATATAACAGGGACGGTTACATGACAAGCTCCAATTACGAAGTGGTGTCCAACAACTCTATTTGTAGACCAGTTTGCTATGGGTGCAACTCTCGATGCAAACTCCCTTCGGTTCTTAAGGTTTCCGATGGCGAACTTGTTGTATATTTTTGCTCTTTAAAATGCCGACACCACTCTAAAAGTGATAAGGCATATATATTTTCATTAATAAAAACTCTGTATCATTGTTCTAATGGTAGTTATAATTATGCTTTTAATCAAATACAAGTTTATATCAAACGGTGTCTCGCCTGAACACTGGTGGCCCTACGCTGAGAAAATTAACATGAAGGCGAGTAGGATAATACTGATACTTATCAAAAATCATTCTCTGCCGAATTTTTTTCTTCTTTTTTTTTTGGGTAGAGCTGATATGTAACCTTGTGGCACAAGGATGTAAATCTTTTGGAAATGCATTCTTGCAGCCACATGTCTTTATATAGACTATGCTCAAGGAAGGAGACTACCTGGGGAAAGATTTCAATGATTGGAGAACATGGTTGAGGGCGAGCTTTTTTATATTTTATAAACGTGTGGAAAATTGAAGATGAGGAATAACAGTAATCACTACAGTACTTTGAAGGAAATTCTTTATGCAAGAGATGGTAGTTTTATAGGATGGTAATCACTACAGTACTTCGAAGATTGTTTCTATATTTCCTACCATTTTACCCAAAAAGAATTTCAAAACCATTATAGGAAAGAATGAAGCAAAGTTACAAGTCTTGTGTAGTGGTTATCTTCGTGTAAGAGATTTTATACAGTTTCCTCTTCGGCTTGATCTCTCAGAAACATCTATACATCCGGAACACAAGCGACGTACGGCTCCCATTCATCGTCTTTGCATCTAAAAAACTAAAGAGCATGTGATTGCTTACCTCAATTAGGTGAAGATTAGATGCTCGACTTAGCAGAACAAAAGCAAATTCCCCAATCTGCGCAAGCCACATTCCAACCTATTGACAAGAAAACTGTAAGGCCTCTCACAACGAAAAGGTTTGGAGCAATGTGAAAGCAGGCAAAAAGAAAAGAAGGGTTCACTTCTTACAAGTAATTTTGTTATTGTATCCAAATACTTTAACAACGATTGCAACTACCACGGTCTTTATCACTATCACCAGTAACAGGGCTGCGACCAGAATATCAACATGGTTCCACAAGAAGTGCATATGTATCAACATGCCAATACTAGCCAGGAACAGCGCTGCAAAAAGTTTCTGATGGGTTCCACCTGAAAGAGAGGCACAGCAAGGATAAGAACAGCTCTATGTGGCCAAAAAGGTAAATGCATTTCATAAAGTCAGAAATAGATATATATAGCCAGAAAGACACTTGCAAGTTGCAACATAAGAGTGTCCAAAGAAAAATGTGAAAAGATCCTCAAGTTCGAAGGAGTCAAACTTGACTTCTTACTTGTTCAAGAGTATGCTGGGCGAGATCAGTTGTTGAGATGACATATGTGCAAACAGCCATAGATAAGACTAAACCCACGCAACAAGCAAAAATAAATGCTACAGCGGCCGAATACCTGCAATGAAGAAGCAGCTAAGTCAACCTATAGGAGGATAATTATGAGTTATGTTGAGATAGACTTAAGTTATAGATAATGATGTATTTATAATATATTTAGGAGTTGGAGTTATCTAGACCAGAGGTCGGTAATACGTTGTGTATATAAGCTCAAGAGTACAGATCAATAAGAACAACTTTTCCATTTATTTGATTCTTATATTTACATGGTATCAGAGCATCGATCTTAGAAAGTGATTGTTCAAAGAATTTGTAAGATTCTAGCTTCGCTATGGCAGACGATGGTGAGGGAAAGTCGATTGTTGAAAAATCAAGTGGAACAACGATGGTGATATCACCGTACTCGTTGTTTAGCTCCGATAATCCGGGAGCGCTGATTACTTCTGTTCAATTGAAGGGAGATAACTACAATGAATGGGCGTTGGAGATGATGAACGCTCTTCGAGCCAAGAAGAAGAATGGGTTTGTTGACGGAACCCTACCTAAACCGACGGAAGATAGCTCCGACCTAGAATCGTGGCTTAGTGTCAATTCGTTGATTGTAGGGTGGATTCGATCGTCCATCGAACCTCGAGTAAGGTCTACGGTAACATTTATCACTGAGGCTCAGAAGTTATGGGATAATCTAAAGAAGAGATTTGAAGTTGGTAATAAAGTGCGGATTCATCAATTGATGGAACAACTGGCTTCTTGCAGGCAGAACGGACAAGCGGTGATAGACTATTATGGTCGACTGGCTGTTATGTGGGAGGAACTACAGACATATCGACCACCTCCAGCTTGTACGTGTGCAGCAGCTGCGGTGTATGAGAAGGAAAGAGAGGACGAGCGAGTTCATCAATTTATCATGGGGTTGGATGAATCTCGTTTTGGGAATGTTGTGACTGCCATTATTGAAGCTGACGAGCTAGCTGATTTGGGGAAAGTATATGCTAAGGTTATTCGAGAAGAAGCACGTTTAAACTCAGCAAAAGCAAGAGAAGTAGTTCCACAAGAAGCTGTTGGATTTACGGCTCGTCAGGAGGTAACAGCTCAGAAGGATCAAAGAGATACACGAGAGTCTGGTGGAAATACAGTGAGGAATGAGAATGGCAATCTTAACTACGGGAACAGAGCAAGGGATCGCGTGTGCTCAAACTGTGGCAAGACTGGTCACGAAAAGAATAATTGTTGGCAGATAATTGGCTATCCGGAATGGATGAATGAGAGACGTGGAAGAGGGTCAAGTCGAGGTCGTGGTGGTCCAAACACAAGAGGAGGAGGACGTGGTGTTGCGCATACAGCACATGCCACAAACTCTTACGGTGCTGGAGGTTCTGATCTCACTCCGGAGCAGTGGAAGGCTATCACACAAATTATTAACGAAGGGAAAGCAAGTTCTCAGTCTGAGAAACTTTCTGGTAAGAATATTGGTGATGTAATAATTGATTCTGGAGCATCGCATCATATGACAGGTGATGTGAAGCTACTAGTGAATGTAAGGAAAACTCAGCCGTGTGTAGTTGGGTTTGCTGATGGTGGAACTTCTACGTCAGTTGAGATGGGTGATATGCTACTAACAGATAGCATCTCACTTAAAGATGTGCTTTTCGTACCAAGACTGGATTGTACTCTGATTTCTGTGTCAAAGCTGTTGAAACATAGTAACTGCTTTGCATTATTCACAGATACTATTTGTATTTTGCAGGACCGTTCTTCGAAGACTCTGATTGGAGCCGGTGAAGAACGTGGTGGGGTTTACTTCTTTAAAGATGTTCGAGTGGCACGAGCTAGCAGAGCAGTTGGTGACAGCGAACAAGTTCTGTGGCATCGACGACTAGGACATCCGGCTTTTGGTGTTTTTGCTTCTTTACATGAGTTTTCTGGTGTTTTGAATAAGGCTTGCTCTAGTCCGTGTGACGTGTGTTATAGAGCAAAGCAAACAAGAGATGTGTTTGGTGATAGTATTAATAAAACAAATAAGAGTTTTCAGATTATTCATGTGGATGTTTGGGGTCCGTATAGAGTACCTGCATCGTGTGGAGCTTCTTATTTTCTGACGATTGTAGATGACTACACCAGAGCCGTATGGACATACCTTTTATTGGCTAAATCAGAAGTGAGAAAGGTGTTGCAGAGATTTTGTGCGTACGCAGAAAATCAGTTTGGTCAATCGGTGCAGACAGTGAGAAGTGATAATGGTACGGAATTCATGTGTTTATCAGGTTTCTTTCAAGACAAAGGAATTGTTCATCAGACCTCATGTGTGGACACTCCACAGCAAAATGGCCGAGTTGAACGAAAGCACAGGCACATCTTAAATGTGGCAAGGGCACTGTTGTTTCAGGCGAAGCTGCCTATTAAGTTTTGGGGTGAGGCCATATCTGCTGCAACGCATGTAATAAATATGACACCTTCCAGGATATTGAAAGGAAGTTCACCATACGAAAAGTTATTTGGTTCTAGGCCTTCGTATGGTATGTTGAGAGTTTTTGGTTCACTTTGCTATGTTCATAGACGTAATAGAGATAAAGACAAGCTTGGGGAAAGAAGTAGAAGATGTATTTTCGTGGGATATCCGTTTGGAAAGAAGGCCTGGAGGGTCTATGATCTCGATAATGAGGAGTTTCTTACATCAAGAGACGTGAGTTTTCATGAAGACGTGTTCCCTTATGCTGAGAAAAATGTTCGTGTCCCTACTGCAGAGAAGTTTACAGGGTCACCTGATGATGATTGGATATTGGATATTACTACAGACGACAGGGGGAGTAAAACTAAACATATTGGTGAAGCATCGCAAGCAACTGAAGAATCAACTGAAGCTGCAGTTATTTCCCCTGTTTTATCTGCAGTGGAACCTGTATCAGAAGCACAGCAGAACGAGAATCAACCAAGCGAAACTGATAAAGAAATTGAGACTGAGACTGAAGTTGTGACTGAGTTGGGAAGAGGTTGCAGAGAAAAGGTTCCGTCTGTAAAGCTGCGTGACTATGTGAGCTACAATGCTCAGTATTTGAAGGAACCCCATCACGATCATCACGCTTCTTCGTCTCAATCAGGGTCTTCCTCGACGGTTCAAGGTAACACACCTTATCCTCTTGCAAATTACATATCTGATGAATATTTTTCTTTGGAACACAAGTCCTTTTTGGCTGCTGTGACGTGTGGAAGAGAACCAAGAAGTTACAAAGAGGCAATGCAACATGAGATATGGCGCAACTCAATGAAAAAGGAAATAGATGCTTTCGAGAAAAATGGCACTTTCAGCGTTGTGGACTTACCGCCTGGAAAGAAAGCAATTGGCAACATGTGGGTTTACAAAAACAAGTACAACGCTGATGGTACGTTGGAAAGGGCGAAGTCTAGACTGGTTGCGTTGGGAAATAAGCAAGTAAAAGGAAGAGATTTCAAGGAGACTTTTGCACCTGTTGCAAAAATGACTACCGTGCGTTGTTTATTACGTGTGATTGCAGGGAAAGGGTGGATTGTGCATCAGATGGATGTTCACAATGCCTTCTTGCATGGTGAACTCAAAGAAGAAGTGTATATGAAGTTGCCACAGGGTTTTCAAGCGTCTGATACGAATAAGGTATGCAGGCTGCACAAAGCGGTTTATGGTCTAAAGCAGGCTCCAAGGTGTTGGTTTGCTAAGTTGACAGATGCATTGAAGAAGTATGGCTTTCAGCAATCATGTGCCGATTATTCTCTGTTTATGTATTCTAAAAATGGAGTTGAGCTTAGGGTGCTGATATATGTAGATGATTTGTTGGTGTGTGGGAACAGTGCGAGGATAGTAGACAAGTTCAAAGACTACCTAAGCAAGTGTTTTCACATGAAGGATTTGGGGAAGCTCAAATATTTTC